GGAACCAGACTAGAAAAATCAGAAAATTAAAACCACACCCCAGGTAATATCAACCTTTCTAATCACATTCATTGTGTTGAGTCTGTGAAGAATCGAATTCAAGCCGTTCTAGTGCTTTTTGGTGGGCCCATGTCTCGATGGTGAGATCAAACTTGGCGTTGAGACCTACTCCAAGGATAACGATTGTGAGGAAGCCGGTGACATAGTAGGGCAACTCGTAGTCCTCCCACTTTCGAGATTGTCTTGGTGACGGTGGCATCCGGTTGAATAGGTATCCATTAGGGCGTTCCTCATGACTCGAACTTGCCCATCAGTGAGTTTTTGGATCTAAATTCCACACCCATCCCGGAAGTGGGAATATCCTCATTAATCATTAGATAGGGATTCCAGAAGTTTGAGAGGAAATGCTGGGATATTCATGGGTTTTATAAATTGTGACTAATTTGAATGTTTTGGGACAACAGTTGCAATTAATATTTTTTTTATATTTGAATGGAGGGTAAAATCGTCCAGAACTAATGAAAAGGACCTTATGTGCAAAGAAATGCGGAAACTAAGAGCAAAAATGTCAAAAAATGAAAGATATGGACGTTTTTCATGATAAACTTAAAAAATAGGGACGTTTTGTGTTAATTACCCATAAGATAATTGTTAAAAATAGTAGTCCTGGCCCTGATATATTTCTAATATTTATTGTCCTCAAATCCTATCAAATGTTGTTTATGCCGTCAAATTCTCCTTACAACATACCGTGAACAATTTGTCGGGTCAATTTAAATGAAACCCGATCCTTTTAAGATCTAAATAAAAGTGAAATTAACTTTTAACTATTATTACATTAAAAATCATATTTTTCTTGAATTGCATCATCGATCAATGATTCACAAATACAGAAAGTTCAACGGTAATTGATTAAGAATTACTAATCAGGAATTAATATAATTTCTTGTTGATGTGTCATTTTCAGATTGGCTTAAAAGAGTGAGCTGTAATAAGGTATTGTGAATTAAGTAGATGGGGTCCGAAGGAGACAAAAGGAAGTGGCTTCTTTTGCATAGTACACTGGATTACATATAATCTGGTTCAGTCATATGTCTCCATTGTCTCAGGATTTTTTGCATACATTTATGTCAGTCCTTTTTCTTATATTTTTTTTGGACTTGTAAAGACGCATCGAGAAACTGGATGTTGATAGAAAATAAATTCGAAGAATGATGATATAAGTGGTCAGCAGATAGAAAATAAACAAAAATTTCACGCCCATCCCTTCTTTAATACTATCGAGTCTGTATCCAGTCGAGCCTTTTGCATGACCAGAAATACTCACTCAAGAACCAATTCTTATTCTCCTCTTTCAGATATTTGGATAAGAACTGGCTAATCTGATCATGTTATGAATAAATGGAGTTCAGGTTGATGTGCACTCTTGAATGTGAAAGCACTAGCATGTATCAATGTTGGGTTTTGATACCCAATAAATTCGGGTTATGATTTAAAATAGTTGTCGGATAATTTATCGACACCATAGACTTGGCTCGACTCTAATGCAACCAACACTTTTGGAAGACCCAAGTTGGAGTTGGATTGGTGGTTTGATTAATATGTGGTTTTGGATTATTGTTGGTCCATTAACTTAGCGGATTGAAAGAGATATATCTTTGGCCCATTTAAATGAATAAGTACCCATTCTCCTGCAGCCCTTTTTGTGGTGTGTGTATTATGTAAGAGAGAAAACAAGAGAAGAAAAGAGAGAGGCAGCCAGCTTTCTTTGGAGTTAGAAAGCTTGGAATGTTTTTGGTGTCTTTCTTCATCTTTCTCCTTCCTTTGTGGATTGCATATACCACCACCATAGTCTCCTTTGTGGAGTGAAACTTGTGGCAACCAAGTGTGGAAGTTTTGGGTCGAGTTGAGGTCGGGTGGTGTTCGTTTGGTTGTTTTCTGAGTCCGAAATCAAGATTTTTCGAGGGATTTCCACGACAATCACCATTGACAAGTAGAACGAAGATTATGAAAGCTAATTAAATTAATTCCAGAGTCGACGGAGAAAATTTGGCTTGGAAATTCCATTTGGTCAAGTTTGGAAGCATAGATTGGAGATTTGCATTAAACTTAGAATTGCTCTCTCGCAAATTTTAGAGGCGGGTAAAATCCGATTCGTTCATGTTCCAACTAGTACTGGACCTAGTCACATACCATAATCAAACTAGGTCGCAAGTGAACAGTACAAGAGTTTTCAAATGAAGAATAAAAAGGATTGTTGGAACGGAGGATTTTTCCTCAAATATTTTCTAGATGTCAAGTTTGAAATAACAACCAAATTTCACTTCAAGGTGGTTAGGAATAGGGTCTCAATAATCTATTTTACGATTCTTGGTGAAGTAGAAAAACTGAATTTTGCATCAAGAAATTTATGGGCTAGTATTATCTAAGTGAATAATAGGGTAAAAGACACACCTAGAACATGCCCATCACGCACCTTGAATCAGGGTCAGCCCTGAGAATTTTAAGATCCTAGGCGATTCATTATTATGAGGCCCTTAAGCGTTATAAAAAAAAATACTTAAATAAATCATATATTTACATTTTAAAGATTCAAAAGATAAAGTAGCAAATTCAAGTTATTTTCGATATATCATATCATGGACTCATGAAAAATTTCTTTTGGATAAATCAAATTCAAATTATAACTTATTAAAGTAAACTATTGAATGTGTAATATTGCTTTTCAAATTAAATTATATTACCATGATAGTATTAGACTCGTTCGATAGCTTGTAATTAATCATGTATATTAAACTCAAGAAAAATTTATTTTGAATAAGATCGAACTAAGTTAGAATCAAGCTAATAATTTATTGTTAAATAAATTTTTAATTAATCCATCTTTTAAATTTATACTAATTTAATTGGGCTTTTACCATGATTTTCATTTGAATGCCCCCTTAGATGTGAGGCCTTAAGCCATTGCCTAGTTGGCCTTGGCTTAGGGCCGACCTTGCGGCTTGACCTTGTAATAGTTTGATGTGTACCTAGTGGACCAAACCAACTCAATGAGTTAAAAAGATTTGGGTTTGGTCATTAAGGAGCAAGTTTTACTTGGCTTAAAAGTTCAAAAAAGGGCTAAAAATTGACTTCATTCGACCGTCGAAAGAAGCTGAAAAGCTGAGTCGAATATGTGGTTTAAGAAAGGTCCTGCAAAAAAACAGAGGACACGACGGCTTAATGCATAGCAAGAATTGTCCAGGAACTGACTTTTGAATTTTTATTTATTTTCGAGTCAACATTTGTACCCATTATTAAGACATTGTACAAGTTGAGGGTAACATTCGTATGAGTTCCATGCCAACCTGCTTAATATTTTCCAGTATTAATTGGTTTGAAAGTAACGGACAAAAGCACTTGGAAAATCAAGTTTCTTAAGGTGTGGGTATGATATCAGCAAGGTAGATTAGCACAAATTTCCTATACATAGTGAGGATTTGTATTGTACAAAATATACGGCAAGTACAGATGATTAAGAGCATGTTTGCTACAGCTTAAAATCCAATTAAAATCAATTTTTTGACCGTTATTTCCCTATTCCAGCCGTCATTTTTAAATTCTTCTCTCACAGATAGGACCTACTTTATCTTTAATGGTCAAAAAATCAATTAACAAAATCACTACCAAACAAGCACTAAGCATATTAGCATATTCTAGTATTTGATTTAAAATAATGCTATTTGCCACTCGCTATCGCAGTCAATTGCTAATGATTTTATGAGGTAAGAAAAAACTACCACATTAATACATAAAATCACTTACCGCCATGTAGGATGCCACATAATGTGATTACCGTACTGAGCGACAATGAATAGCATCACTCTTTGATTTAATAACAAAAACGTTATTCGATAGCAAACCTCATACAAACCTACCTTCCCACATTGAATTTGACAGATTGACATAGTGAATCCTTGAACATAAATTCTCTGTCTACAGAATATGTATAAATACACCCGGCATTCTCCTCAACCACGAGCATTCGACTTGAAAATTAATTCAATGCCCTTCTCTGTAAACCCTTTAGTCTAAAAGCTAAGGCCCTGTTCTCTTTACCGTTTTCGGGTTGTTTTCTGTTTTCGATTTTTCAAAACGGTGAAAACGTGTTCTCTTTCCCGTTTTCGAAAACGAATTTTCGAAAACGTTTTCGAAAACGAAAAAAATTTGTGAAGAAAACACAAAACGACTTTTTTGTCGTTTTGGGCGTTTTCAGTGTAAAACTTGAAAAAATTGAAAACGCGGGAAACCCTTTTTTTTTTTTTTTTTTTTGAGGTGGTGGTGTGGTGATTCTCAAAATTTAAAAAAAAAATTAAAAATTAAAAAATTTTTTTTTTGAGGAGATAGTGTGGTGATTCTCAAAATTTCAAAAAAAAAAAATAAAAATTAATTTATTTATTATTATTTTTTTTTGGTGTTTTGAGGTGGTGTTGTGGTGATTCTCAAAATTTTAAAAAAAAAAATTTATTTTTTTTTGTTTTGAGATCCTAACAAAAAGAACGCATTTTCAACAATTTCAAAACAAACACTCAAAATACAAAACTCAAAATGAATTCAAAACTCAAAACACAAAACTGAAACACAAAGAGAACACCCCCTAATATTCCCTAAGAAAATGAAGGCAGGTGTAGTGGAAGCAGGTGAACCTCCAAAGGATGATGCTCTAAAAACTGCAGTAAACAGAGTCATATCCGTACTAGACTTTATTATGGTTTATGAGAATAGTTGCTGTTATTGGTACCTTGGGAAGTGCAATTGCCATGGGAACAACAAATGAATCACTTCCCCTTTTCACGCAGTTCATTCGTTTCAGGGCTCAATACAGTGATCTTCCCACATTCACGTGAGTGTTTTCTTCTCTACCCGTAGAGTGTATCATCAGTTTATTGTTCTAACCTATAATGTAAACGTCAACAGGTTCTTCGTGGTTGCAAATTCCATAGTAACTGCCTACCTGATTCTTTTGCTTGCACTATCCATCTTCTACATTGTTAAAAGTAGCGGACGAGTAACAAGGACAGTTTTGATCATCTCTGATACGGTAATGTTCTCAGAAAATACAAGACTAAAAGAATATAAAGAAACATCGAAAAAATTTTAATTCGATGCATATTTTCCTTTATATGACACCCGAAGAGCATCAGAGAAATTTTCACCTTTAAACACGAAGAGCGTGAGAGAAATTTTCAACTTTAAACACTAAGTGAAAGCTCTTTTAAATTCGGACAAGGTTTTGAACCGAACAAGAAACGAAGTTCATCATTTTCTTCTTCAATCAGGCTACATCCAGGCTCTTTCGTCACCCTACTATCATCCATCAATTTCCTCACATTTTCAGCACCATGCCACTCCCCACTCGAAGCATATATGTTTGACAATAACACATAATCACCACTTTCATCCTGTCTCAGTTTGAGCAGCTGCTCATTTGCAATTCTTCCCAGCTCAACATTACCATGAATTCTGCAAGCAGCTAGCAATGTCCTCCAAATAATAGCATTGATTTCAATCTCCATGGTGTCAATGAACTTAAATGCTTCATCCAACAACCCTGCACGCCCAAGTAAATCCACCATACACCCACAGTGCTTTATATTTGGCTGAATATTATACTCATCTCTCATCATATTAAAGTATGCACGTCCTTCATCAACTTTTCCAGCATGAGTACAGGCGATCAATACCCCCATAAATGTAATCTCATCAGGCCTAAACTTCAATTTCTTAATCTCTTCAAAGTAGGAGATGGATTTCTCCATATAACCAGTAAAGGCCAATCCTACAATTATAGAATTCCACGAGGACACATCCTTCTCCCTCATTCTGTGAAATACATCGAGTGCCTTGTCAATTCTCCCACACTTGGCATACATATCAATAAGAGCATTACCAAGAACAACAACTAATTCTCCCTCGCCCATCTCCAAAATAGACAAATGTATTTTCTCTCCAACATCTAGAGCTCCTAAATTTGAACATGCCGATAATAGACTCAACATGGTCACTTCATCAGGCTGCTCCCCACCACTTGTCATCTCCTCGTACATCTCCAATGCCGTCTTGTGCATCCCACTAAGCACACAGCCAGAAATCATAGCATTCCACGTCACGACATCTCTTTTGGGAACCACATTAAACAACTCCATAGCATACTCCATCTCCCCCTGTTTCAAGTACCCCGTGATCATCACATTCCAAGAAACCAAATCCTTCTCCGGCATCTCATCGAATAACCACCTCGCCATATGCAATTCCCCTCTCCTTGCATATCCAGCAATTAAAGAAGACCAAGCAACAACATCTTCCCGTGCAGAGCCATCAAAAAGTGTGCTGGCTGCCCTTATATCCCCACAATTTGCATGAAAATAGATAAGGGTGTTCCTCGCGAACTTATTCCACTCAAAACCATATTTTAAAATCTTGCTATGAATCACGCTACCCATGTTAATCCAGGAAAGCCTCGTACACGCCTTGAGCACAAAAGGAAACGTGTATTGATCAGGCCGAGTGTAACCACGCTCCATCTGAGCATAGAGTGAAATAGCGAGCTCAGGCTTGCGGCATTGAGCTGACCCTCTGAGCATGGTGTTCCACATGAAGAGGTCCGGTTGCGAAATTCGAGCGAACAGTTGGTGGGCATAATAAATGGTGGAATGAATTGCATATGCGGACGCATATATGAGTTCCCGCAGAGCAAAACGATTGGAATTGATGCCATTAATGACCATACGAGCATGGATTTGCTTTAGGGTTCTTAGATTTGTGCATCTTCGCCATATGGATGAACGTTGGTGGCAGATGACGCTCTTCGATCTGGTGGTTTTTCTGATCATTTACTTCGAAATGCTTCATAACATGATTTTTGTCGGGACTGTTTCTGTAATAGATTTATGGCCCTCGAAATTAGTAAACATCTGAAGCCCGGCCCAGTCCCTTCCCCATTCTGTTGGGCCTTTATACTGGCTGGAATTGAGAATTGATACTGGAATTTGATTTCTAGTATAAATTTATCCAAACATTTAATTTAACTGTATATTGCGAACTCATATGTACAGTTCTAATAGATCAAGGACCTATATTGTAATTTTACCAAATTTATTGACATTAAAGTCAGGTCAATGCCACACGGGGATAGAGTTATTAAGAAATTGCAAATTAGCACCGGCCTTTTTATCTACATTTGACTTTCTAGCCCACACCAAAATTGGTAATCAAATTGAACTTGTCCATATTCTGGACTTCCGACTGAATTGAAATAGCTTCCTCCACCTAAACTAGAAATTGATTTAGAGACTCCTTTCAAAAAAAAGGTGTGAGTGCGAATAAAAGACATCCGTTGGATAAGCTTCATAGACGATCTTCATGATTGAAGAGATATTTGATGATAAACTTGAGTTTGTCCAGAGACAGAGAAAGGCATAAAAATCAACGAAATGCTTTGAAAAGTTGAAAATAAGTAGAGATCCCGAGATTTCCAAATATCACAAAATTTTGAACTGCTGCTATTGATACGAATGCATTAATTTATTTATTTTTATTGTTTTAATTAAATTAACCAAATAGACTCTATAATTTGTAACATAACATAACTAAACAGATGTGGACCCCACAATTTGCTTCCAACTTCTTCTTGTTGCACTGAGGCATTATAATATAGGTCTCTTCATCTATAATATGAAAAGCAGATCTCAAAAATATAGTTTTAAACGAGATAGTTACAGAATAAAAAAAGTAGAACTTGAAAATTTTGCACGTATCAAAATTTTAAGTTAAAAAAGAAACTTATCTGTACGTGACGAATATAAATTTAATTAAAAATATATTGTGACGTTTGTACAGAAGAATTTCAAGATTTTTTTCTTGAAAATCAATTGGTGGTAATTAGAAGTCACGCAACTATAAATGATTTAATTATATTACCCTATACATTGATTGACCATTGTATAATTTGTATATCAGACAGCTTACTATCGTTTTCAATTATCTTAAATAACTATAATTTTTTGATCTTTCAAACTTACTTATAATTTAAAATCAGTGATGGTATTTGGATGAGCCAATAATTTTGTAATCTAGTGACGTTCAATTATTTTTCAATAATTTTTTTGGGACAAAAGATTAGAAAATGTACTGTTTAGCTAAATCGTACGTTGTAAGAAATTAAGAATAAACAAGGCGGTGTTATGACTTGTGATGGAGTTGAACTGCTAATCTTGACTTCTTGTTATGCATAATTTGTCTTGATTATAATGCAAATAAAAAAGAAATTATCGATAGTCTTATAATTAAAATCTCTTAATTTAACTTAAAAAGAAATATCTCGAGTCATGGTTCGTGATTCGGACGAAGATATAAAAGCGATGAATCGAAGGAAGTGAAGGTTGAAAGTGATCAAATCCAATCTATGGACAGGTGCTTCTAGTTTTTACCCATTTTCTTGGTTCATTTACACTCCAATTCTGTGATTTGAGTCCAATATGAATAGTTGTCACTCAAATAAAGGGATAACCTTTTGAAAGGGTTAATAATAACAATCTATGCCCCTTTTGAGCAACATTATTGTAAAAATGAGAATGAAAAATATAATCGTTATGGACCCCACAAAAGAGATAAAAAGCAAATATGGTGACTTGATGAGATGAATAACGGTTATATTTTTTCATTTTAATGAGGAAATAATAGGGCACAAACAGAAATAGATTGATGGAATCATTTGAAAAATCAGAGACGATTTCTCCTTCATTTATCTTCTTCTTCTTCTTGAACTAAAAATTATAGCATTTCATTTCTTTTCTTAAACTTTGTTCGTATTTTGTTAATTCAAATATACAAAAACGAGCCTCTAGAATGGTGACTTCTTCTTTCCTTTTGTGTTTGGGATTATTTTCGTTAATGCATTATGCAAACAACATAAGCGGGTTTCATTGTATCGTATATAGGTGTATTGCTTTTTTTGTCAACTTATCCAAATTTAAGTTTGAAATAACAAATATATGACATTTGTTGATATGATCTGTTAGAAAAAATTATAGAATTTATACATGACGTGTATAAATTAAATAATATATATTAAACTATTATAGCAAATGGGACAATAAGTATTTATGAAAAAATATAGCATAAAATATATAATAAAGTTTAGTCATATAAATATATAGCATATCATAAATCAAAAACTTTTATAGTTATGCTTCCAAGAGTCAAATTTTTTATTGCACTTTTTTAACAATATTTCTTGAAACTTTACTCACAACGGACGCTAAATTGCTAAGCTTAAAAATGATGTTATAAAAGCAACATTTGCATATAATTTTTTTTTTTTTTTTGGGTTAATGTAACTATGTTAATTATTTATTTTGATACTAACCCAATAGTTACTTTTCAAATATTCTCACTTAAAAGTGATAAAAAAAAATGTTATTTAAATTATAAATATGTTTATGAATAAAAATAATAATTTAAAACTAATTTAAGTCGATTTGCTCATCCACTCCACAAGATTTATGGCCCAATATTAACTATGCAATCAAATCAATAAAATTGACCGCTCTACATTTTTGGTTAGACAATGGATTCTTATCCTTTGCCAGCTTTGTTTGCTGCACAAATTCAGACCATCTAATTGATGGTCCGAAATCTTGCGCTAATCACTTATGTGTGTACACTGAATCAGTAACAAAATTGAAGTATCATTACCTAAATATCTAAGGCCATATGAATTTCATTTTCCAACTTTTTATCTAGTACCCATCACTTTGTATGAATGGAGTAAGGGGCGCCCTTTCCTCTCTTTCTTGGTAAGTGACCCATGGGTATGGGGCACGAGCCGATTGAGCTATAACGCCTTGCTAGCAAAAGTCTCCTCCCCAACATTTACCACCTACGTGAGAACCCAATAATGAATTTACGAACATTCTTACCTCCTTCACACATACTCTTAAAAATATTTATATATCCTTTTTTATTTTCATAAAAATCTTTTAATGTCACCCCACAATTTTCTTTTTAAATATTATCTGATTGCATAGTATGAATACTACTTATACCAATTCAAACTTCAAAGTTCAACCCAACTTTAATGTTGATAATTGTACCTTCTTTAATTAATTGAATCTTAATTAGGATAAAAAAAATCATTTACTTGTGCATGCACATAAAAATTGTAAATCCTGCATATAAAATTCTGCCACGTGTTCGCTTCCTGTCGTGGAATTCTGTCGGGATCGATGAAACATGGCCCACTCCTAAGTCCCAAACCTCAACCAAAAACTTAAACCTCAATTAGTCAAATAATTGGTGTTTGTTTAGCAAAAAGTTCGGCAATCATTAACCAATTACAATTAGCCAGTGGTGCTCCTCCGTCGGCAGTGGCGGCGCTGTCAATTTCCTCCGCCTCCTTGGATCCAGCGTGTTGGATTTAATGTTGACGAATTGGTTCAATTATCGAACTATAGAGAGAAGAGAACCAAAATTTGAAAATTGCCTAAAATAGCTAAAGGAGACAGGTTTTTTACCATAACCAATTAGTTTGTTACTCGATTTGGAAAGTTAACTTTAGGTAATTGTCAACTTTATTAAAAGTTAAAACAAATAATTAACCAAGGTAAGGGGATAATATTCTAAATTAATTTTGTAAAGTTTCACTATGTAGTAGTTTGGGGGTGAAATAATTGTGATTGATATACAGTTTTTTGTACTTACTACTGGATAATAAGGAATCTACAAGCAGACTGCATCAGATGATTAATCGAGGCGCATAATTGTACTGATAAGCTTTGATAAAGATGATGTGGACCGAGCGATATTAAGGGACATAAGTTATATCCATTTCGTAAAAGAGGGAAAAAAATTGGATAAAAATGTTCACTATATTTTATAGGGGTGGGTGCGGGTCGGTTCGGTTCGGTTCTCTTTAGAACCGAACCGAACCAAACTTTTCGGGTATCTAGTAAATGGAACCGTCGGGTCCAAATATAATTATAGAACCGTTCGGGTTCGGTTCCATTCGGTTCGGTTCCGTTCGGTTCTGTACTATAATTAAATTTTTTAACATTTATAACAACGTTATATAAATACGACTAATGATACATTTAATAGTTTTGGAATGTCAGAGATTAGTAAACTACCCTGTTCAAATGATCGCTACGATCAAAGCTTCAGTCGGGGAAAGTCACGGCTTCGATCGGAGGTCAGAGTGTCGGCCGACGATTGTATAAGTTTTGGAATATTAGATAGACTGCAAGAGTGAGTGCGAGAGTCGAGACAACATTATGCACTTTATTGTAGGTGTTTAGGGTTATTTAGTGGATTTGATCTTGTTTGGCTAAGAAATGAAATAATAAAATGGGTAATTGGGCCAAAAATTAAAAAATTAGAAATGAAACAAATTATTGGGCCAAAAATTTGGATTTAGAAATCATTAATTTGTTAATTTGTTTAGAAAAAATTAAAATTAAAATAATTTGATTTACTCAATATAAAAAAAAATTAGAAAGATTCGGTTCTTATTCGGTTCTTCGGTTCTTGGTCTAGAACCGAGAACCGAACCGTACCCGTCGGTTCTCAATTCAGATACCCGTTCGGGTATTTAATTTGACAAGAACCGTCGGGTTCGGATCGGTTCGGTTCGGGTTCGGTTCGGTCGGTTCGGTTCGGGAGATTAGCCCAGCCCTAATATTTTAAACTGACGAATAATAGAGTAACATGTGATATTATGTAACCCACTTTATAAAACTTAATATACATATAACAAGGTTCGTCCGTAAATAATGTACAGGATATTACATCTCTACAAGTAATTTAATAGACTATACCTGATTGATTATTGGGATAGTATTGCAATAGCTTCATAATTCATATTATAAATTTTCAAGTTAGGATGGTCACAAGCCTACAACAACTAGGGATTGGTTACAATCAAACTTGATAAGTGAGTCGCTAAATGTGGCTACATGTCAAGCATCCAGATGTCCTCTTCCACTTATATATATTCGGTCGTCGAGCTCTTAAAAGCAAGTTCACATAGCCAAAGTTCTCTTATGGTTTAGGCAAGCGTAAGCTCGAACTGATACTAGTATAAAACAAGAAAAAAAAGAATAAAAAATTTGTTTATACCGTCTAGTCTTATTCAATACTAAATACTCGTACGGTAGATATATACTTGTTTAGTAAATGTGCCGTAAATGTTTCCGCCTGTAGATTAAAAACTTAATGATGCAAGATTAATTAGCTTCTAACGTTTGATTACAACAGTGCTTATGTAAAGCAAACAAGTTCCAGAATAACTAAAACTGTTGATTGGACTTGCTTAAACTTTATACTTTTATTTTTTCAACAATTGAAATAAATAAAAAGTAACCACCGGCGGCTTACAAATAAGTAGCTAGCTTTGGTTAAACAGATTACAACTAACACGCCATAATTTATTTCTTTCAATCTGCTGAGTTTCCATGTGTTAACTATGCCCCTAGTTGCAATTACAGTCCATCAAATGCTTCAGTAGAAACACCAATATGGTCTATCGAATTCTAGGTTCGTTTAACAAAACTTCTACTTTTTATAGAAGAACTTCTTGAAGAAGATGCCTTAAATTAGTTTTCTCTAAAAACTCTTTTAGTCAACTAAAGCAATTTTAGAATATTATCTAACATGTTTAAAAATAATTTTTTAGTTTCCGAATTAGTTTGACTTTTCGAATATCTTGTCAAATTAGCCCTAAAAATATAATTCTAGAAGAACACGGATATTATTGTGGTCGAAATATGTTCGATTAGGCAAATTGGACCATACTAGATAAGGAAGATAAATAAAGCTCAAATCTTATTAATATTCATTATTCAATATTATGTACTAAACACGGACTAAAATTTTTTACATTGCATGTTCATACGTCGTTTTTAAAATCTCTATTCATTGAGTTCTATTCATCCGAACAATTTTTCTCTCGGTAAGAGAACTCACTCTCTCTCTCATTTTTTCTCTCGGTAAGAGAAAACTCTCTTTCTCTCTCACTCACACACACACTCACGCCCACGCACACAGAAACATATAATCCATCTCTTCTTATAATAGTTAAGCCATTTTTAAGGTTTGAGATTGATTTAGAATTTTCAGACAGGAACTGCAAGAAGAAAATGGCCTCTGGTTTTAGCTCGGTCGATTTGCCTCCAGGTTTTCGATTTCATCCAACAGATGAAGAGCTCATAACTCATTATCTATCTCCAAAAGTACTTGATAGCAGCTTCTGCGCCACGGCCATTGGAGAAGTGGACTTGAATAAGATTGAACCCTGGGATTTGCCCTGTAAGTTTTAATTTTAAACATAACGGGAGTGTTCTTGATCCTTCGATTTTCAATAGTTTTAATTCTGATTCTTTGAAATTGAAGGGAAGGCGAAAATGGGTGAAAAAGAATGGTATTTCTTCTGCATAAGAGATAGGAAGTACCCAACTGGATTGAGGACAAACAGAGCCACTGATTCCGGTTATTGGAAGGCAACAGGCAAAGATAAAGAGATTTTCAGGATGAAAATCCTAGTCGGGATGAAGAAAACTCTGGTTTTTTACAAAGGAAGAGCTCCCAGAGGAGAAAAGACTAATTGGGTCATGCACGAATACAGATTAGAAGGCAATAATTCTATCCCCACAAGTGCCAAGGTAATACAATTTCCTCCTTTTTCTCTGTTTCTGGTGTCGAATCACCTCGTTTAAAAGCTTTTTTTATTCTTGCAGGATGAATGGGTGATCTGCAGAGTTTTTAAGAAGAGTTCAGGAGGTAAGAAGGTAAACATGTTAGAACTAATCAGAAACAAAAGTTGTGGGGAAAATTCGGAGTCCTCAGATTTGCCTCCATTAATGGATTTATCATCAGATGATAATCAGAGAGGATATACAGTTGCAGAGGATTCACCCGTGCCCTGCTTCTCCAATCAACTGGAGGATCCGAAACCTCAAAACGATATGATTTATGAATTCAGTAACGAAAATCTACCCTATCCGGATTCTGATTTAATGATGCAAGATCACTCCATACTGAGGTTTGTGCTCGAGGGAAACGGGGCAAACATAAAGCAAAATGCCAAACCCGAATTTTTACACGATACGGGTATGGGTTACGAGGATCTTGTTTCTGCTGGCCCAGTAGACCTTGATTGCCTCTGGAATTATTCATTTTGAAGATTATGAACTCCAAGAAAAAGTTAGAAGCAGCTGCAGATTGGAATAATGTTTACATGAAGAATGTTAGTGTGTGTAGGTTCCCGAACTTGAATGTGTGGAAAATTTTATTTAAAATTCCTGTACTTAATTATTGAAATATAAGTACTTAAATTTCATTAGATTTTTTTTTTCTTTTGTTTATATGTATATTTTAATACGTTATACTATTCTCTATACGACACTATGACGTGACATAGGACATAATAGTCGAGATGATGAACTTGAGATTACTCAAATTGTAATTGTCATCGAGCTCAATAAATAAGACGATTTACACTAAAATAAAAACGTTACCATTTGACATGAATTACAAGATCCAGACCTCATTTCTAGTTAACATCAATTTAAAAGTTCGAATACGGGAATCGAGCAATGAGACGAGGGTGATCTGAGGGTAAAAAAAATTATACATAATCAAACAATCTTGATATTCTTCAAAAATTAGTCCATGGACAAACGTAGTTGTCCCAATATATCATGGAGTATAGCTGCTGTTCAGAAGACTTGTCATTGTTCATCATAATATTAGCGTGATACATATGGACGTTAAAAATTTAAATAATGATCACATGGCGTGGACCTAAGAGTGTTTTAAGTATTTCAAACCAAGTCTGTGCACTACTATATTATAGATGTGAATACAATGGAATTGTCAAAACAAACTCGTTAATCATGTTGAATATTAGTCCATCGATCGATCTAATTTGTCTCGAGAAATCAATTTTAATAGTTTTCTTCGTGAGAACTTATTTTTCTTGGTTCATTCCATGAAGTGCGGGGATGGGGGTTTAGGTCATCCAAACCCACTCCATTATTAATTATTTTTAGTATATTTCTTCTTTTACTTAGGCTATTAGTTATATATTTCTTAATTTCATAAAAAAATATTACAACCTAGATAAACATAAATTTTAAATCTACATCTAAGAATACACTTTATATTTTTAGTTTTTCATAATATATCGAATTTAAATTAAAATTTAATTCGACATTAAAACAATTTCAACGTTTAATCAATTTGAATACTAAAAACGAAAAAAAAAATGATGTAAAAGTTATAAAGGTTGATACTATTGCTCTATCCCTTTTTTTATTTTTCTCCAATAACAAACTTTATTAAATGAATTTTATTTTTTTCATATCATGCCTATCTCACTCGATGAAATAAGTAAATATTTTCCTTATACTATTCAAGTCTTGACTCAGGAGATAGAGTTGGGCTGGCAGTTGGAGGGCCCCCACCTGGCTTAGACCTTTTCTTATTTGATAACAAAACGGGTTTAAACTATTATGTCTTTCCAACTCGATTCTATTCGATGCTTATGTTTCTCTATTTCCGTTTGACCTTTAATACCTGAGCTTGGCTTAAAAATAAAAATAATTGATATATTTTTTAAACATATCCCTTTGTTTCATCGTGCTCCTATTTAGTTGACAAAAGTTAATTTTAATTTAAATAGAAGTTTACAATTAGTTTTAACTATTGGAGGAATTTTGTGAATAGTGACGTCAAAACAAGTATAATGATGGTTTGTAAATCCGTGCCGAAAATTGGACAGAGTAACGGCAAAGAAACCACAAGCAAGAAGAAGAAGAAGAAAGTAGGGACAAAGTCGAGGTAAGAGTTGGACTCTTTGTCCTTAAGTCGAATTTGCCCCGCAACGGTGCCTACGGATTTCGGCAATCGATTCCCAAGATACAACGGCTACACTTGTGTTTGTAGCACTCCAAAATACAAGTACAACGAACCAAATTTAGGCTTATGTACTCCAAGGATGAAATGAAGGAAAATCAAAATAAATGAAATGATTTTGATTTTGGATAGAAGAGAGGATGAGAGATGTTTTGCATATCAAATTGTGTGGAATGGGACACCCAAAGGGTCCTATTTATAGACCATGAAAGGGTGTGGACGAAATGGTTGAGGCCAAACCATGCACCCTTTCCAAACAATGCACATTTATGAAAAGATGTCTATTCACCGGTCGCACGATTTTACGACCTGATTTTCGTCCTTTTTCGTAATTTCTCATTCATCCGATATTGGTTTTCGAAATGCCTAATATACCCTTCAATACATGCAGAGAAATCAAAATTCTCTTTCGGGGGCGTTGCCCCCGAGCCCCCCCGCGACCTGACCGGGCAGGTCGATCCCCGTTTGTGCGCCCCGAAGCGGCGAAATGGCAAACAATTTTGCCTAAACGGATTGAGTCGAGCGTTTGAATATTTGGCCGAAATCGATATGAAGTCACTTTAATTTCTCAATTTATTTAACCAATATCCAACATTAACAACAGATTTCATGGATCTCATAACTTTTCAGCTATACATTCCATTAACTTTTACAAAATATATTAAAAATCTGATTTTTATCTAAAAACAGAAAGGGTATAAAAATTACATGTATAATAATGATGGCTTGTTACAAATAAATAATAATAATAAAATTAATCGAATGAAAAATTGATATTGATACATAGTCTAACAAACATCATGGAAGAGCATGTTCTTTATTTGGACAATGATGTCGTAACCAAGAAAGTGAACATAATTTCATTGAATTTAATTTAATTGTCAGCAAGTCTAACAGAAAAGATATATAAAGAGTTTGGGATGAAATTAAAATCAAGAATGAAAAACTCATGCTGAATTTGGGTAGTGTGACGACAGCTGTTGGGAGGAAGCGATCAAATTTAAGAAGAAACTGATACTGAATGAATGAATGCACTGTTTCTGACTCTTTTCATACTTTATTCCCTTCTGTTATATCATAACGTGACAAATTTTGATTCCAATACGAATAAAAAGTATAAAACGACAAATAAAGTATTATGCTAGAATGATTTTCTTTTTATGACTCGGTAAAGTTGGTAATTACTAGAGTCTACATTTATTAAAAAAAATGTTAGGGTTAAATCTACGGCTGGTTACTATTGGAGGTACATCAAAGTCGAAATCAAATCGCTCAACTTCAATTTGACTGTAAATTTGGTCACTTATCTTTAATTTGGTGCAGTCAAAATTCCTCAACTTTGATTTGCTTGCAGATCTAACTTATGAAATATGCTAACGCCTAAATAATGAATAGTCCACATGGAAAAATGCTCTTTTAGTTTATACGATTTTTTTACTTTAAGATGGGTAACTTGATTCATAAATAAATCGAAGTGACTTAGATGTACATTTATTCAAAGTTGGATGATTTACCGCGCACTTAATCTATAGATGTTACGTTAAAATTGTTGGGAATCTACTTATACATGCACAGCGGAATTTAAGATAATTTTCGATTCCCACCAAGAATCGCTTTTGTGTTTAGATAGAAATTGTGATAAGATTGTACCTTTTCCAGATCTGCAATCCTTTTGCTTTTCTTTTCGTTCCATCAACCTTGATTCGCCACCACAGCTGTCCAATTGTCCAGCCTCCAACGTTGATCCACACAGAAAATAAGATTGCAGCTTCTAGGGTTTTCTCTTGTGCCAGCAAGAATAATGAAAACCTTATAGACCTCAAACCCTAGTTATGTATTTATATAAACCCAAACAGGCTCGACTCGGCCCGGTCCGGTCCATTAATTAATTAATCCAATTAATTAAACCCGGTCCATGAATTAATTAATCCAATTAATTAATTCGAAAATATAAATAACAAATCCAATTAATTAATTTATCCAACGATTGTTAAATTAACCAATTGGCAATTTGCAATCTTCCAATTTTCTTTTGTGTGTGACCCATTAGGTTCCCGACCACGATGCCTAACGACGTGAAATATTATTTTGATCTAATCAAAATTGATAAATTAAACACCCTTTTAATTTATCGTCAATTCACATTCGCCGGCCCTGATTGACATCTAGCAATGTGTCAGGGCAATACATGTGACGGGAAATGTCACGTGGTATGACAAAACCAAATTCGTTCGTTTACCGTGAAACTATAATCCCTTCGTCAATATGATCCGATCAATTACGAGATATGGAGTTGCGTCAATCTCGATCATCGATCATATCTTTCACTCCACTATTAAGTCAATACAAATCGAAAACTCCTTTTCGACTTATGAGTACACCTTGGCCAAGGATTTCATCATTGACTTAATTGAATGAAACG